CACTTCTCCTAATTTGGTATCATTCTTCTCTTTTTATCAATGAGACACCTCAGCCTTCCTCTCTGACCAATTCCTCCTAAGAGGACTCACCTGTCTGTCTCTACCCAGGGAATCATTGATTTCAAACCAACTTAAGCTTCTTCCTTTGAGCATATTGTGACCGCTGGACTTCAGAGCAGACCTAGAGAAATACTTCATCCTGCAGTTGATCTTAGATCTTTGGATAATTAATAATAATTTTCACATATCTAAAAATTTAACATCACCCCTAAACTTCTCCTTTTTGGAGTATTAAGAGCATGGCATGAGATTTAAATTCCTGACAATTTTTTTTTGAGACAGTTTCACTATGTCACCCTTGGTAGAGTGCTGTGGCATTGCAGCTCACAGCAACTTCAACTCTTGGGCTTAAGCAATTCTCTTGCCTCAGCCTCCCAAGTAGTGTGGGACCACAGGCACCCATCACAATGCCTGGCTATTTTTTTGGTTGTAGTTGTCATTGCTGTTTGGCAGTCCTGGGCTGGGTTTGAACCCACCAGCTCTGGTGTATGTGGCTGGCACCCTAGCCACTGAGCTACAGGTGCTGAGCCTCTTGACAAATTTTTAAGGGTAAAATACAGTATCACAGGTTGAGCATCCCAATCTCAAACCACATGATTTTCTTGACTTTACATACCTGATTTATTTAGTCCTCACAACAGCCCTGTAAGGTAGGAACTCAACCTTCCCCTTTTACAGGTGAGGAAACCAAGGCAGAGAATTTATTTGCTCACAGTCACATGACTAGTGAGTTAGTAGAGCAAGTTCTATACTCCATGTATTTAACCAAAGGCCTCCCTAAGGCCCTAGAGCAATGGTTCTCAACCTTCCTGATGCCAGGGCCCTTTAATACAGTTCCTGTGGGTCGCGACCCACAGGTTGAGAACCACTACCCTAGAGGGTGTTTGTGCCAACGCTTGGAATCTAACAGAGATTAGATTATCTTCAGGACCTCTTTCCCCAGGGTTCACAGAGAAGACCAGAACCAATGGCAATTGTTCCTGAACTGGTAGACCTCATACCTCCTCTTTCTCTCGGTTTTCAAAGCTCTCCACAGGTAGATAGAGCCCTATCTCTTCTTCCCCATGGAAGGATGAAGGTGTCCCAACCAAGGCCAGGTCTCTAAGGGGGATTCCCCACAGCACCTCTCTCTGGAGGTAAGGCAGCAAGTGGCCCATCTCCCCTTTCTACCCTGAGGCAGAGGCACTCAGTAAGTAGGAATGATGAAGATTCCTAAGGAGGAAAGGTAAGACCATTCCAGAGCACTCAGTTGGTGACAGGATTCAATTGCAACGCAAGGGAATTTCTTCTGAATCCCCACCCTAGCTCTCTTTGGGCAAACTCAACCCAGGGGCCTGGCAGGTGAATTGTCACCTGGCTGCCTCACAGCGGAGGTCAAATGATTGTTTGCCAACTTTAACAACTTCTACTACTATAGACTATCAAAAGCATACCTGTGGACTAAATCACACACACACACACACACACACACACACGTCCTGGGCAATTCCGTTATAAACACCTGCTTTGGAAATTACTGCTTTAAATGGCAAAACATGAAGGACCTTTAAGAGATAGGTTCTTTACTTAGCATTTCATAACTTTGAGGGAAGGTGGAGGGAGAAGTATATTCTAAGGGGCAGGACCAGTGCTCTTGGACATAAACTTTATTTTTCAGACATGATCTTGGGACTTAGAGTTTTCTTAATTACTCATACATGTACAACTCTACCAGGGTGTTCTAGGTAGATCAGAGGACACTAGGGTTAAAGCCTCTATAGATGACTCAGACAGCAAAAAACGTACAACGGCTTTGTTTCTGCTATTCTGTGCCCAATCATTAGAGAAGGCAAAAGCGTGGGGAGAGCTTCAGCTCTCTGTAAGCCTGGTAAGTACTTCTGGCTGGAACTTATTAATTTCATTACAACCCTGAGAAGAGACCAAGACCATAATCTCCCAGGGAGTGTTTGGTTAATCCTAATCTTACATGGTATAAATGAAACGCCCCTAAATGTGCAGAACCAACCTTAACTGTCAAAACTACACTATATACAACATAAGGGACCAGAAATCAATCTTTATCTCAAAAAAAAATAAATAAAACAGCTTCCAGGATACAAAGAGGACACCCCCTTAACACCTTTTTCTACATCTTCAAATAAGCATATTCACAGAAAAAGCAAAACAGAAATTAGCACTTCCTGAACATCTACTGAGTACTACTCACATTCACACACATTAACTTATGTAACTCCCACCACACAGTCTGTAGGCACTGACTGCTGACATTTTAGCTTCCTGAAAACGTAATCTGAGAGATGTGGGATTTGCTCAAGGTGACACTGCAGCAAGGAGACACAATTTGAATCTGAAGCCGTGTCCTGCCCCACGCCATAGCCACGAACAGCAAACGCAGATCTGCCACAGGGAAATCAAAGACCTACGGCCATCCAGGAGTTCCACACCGTAAGTGGAAACATGGGCTGGTTCTCTTGACTCTTTGGTCCTCCTGTTTCCACCCTAGTGTATGACTGCGGGTGCAAAGCCACCTTGTGAGCACCCTTCCTGATCTCAGGAAAAAGACAATACCTGGCTGAGGGCAAGTCACAGGTGTGATAACATGCCAGAACTAGGTCAGGAACCTCAGGCTGCAGGCTCCTGCAACGTCACCCCATAAAAGGAGTGGTGTGGCCACCAGGTCAGCAGATTCCGAGTGCTGCCTGAGGTGCAGCCAGTGCTGCAAAAAAGGGCCCAAGAGGGAAGAACTAGGAATGACCTTGGTCTCAGCCTCCACACCCTGCACGATGGCCTCTGGGACAGGTGAGGATCTCTCATGGTCTCTACCATCACCAGCCAGCATGGCAAGACAGTTCACTGAGGCCTGGACCAAGCCAAAGGAGGGGCTGCCCCCAAACCACACAGTTTAAAATGCTCCTAAAATTCAAAATTTCTTCAGTAAGAACATGATACTCAAGGGAAATGATTACTGGGGTATTTTGGATTTTGAATATGCAGATTTAGAATGCTCAACCAGTATGTTGCAAATATTTCAGAATCCAGAAAAAACCTGAAATCCAAAACACTTCTGGTCAGAAGCACATAGGAAAAGGGATACTCACTCAGGCTGTTTTAAGCATCGGCACAGCACTATCTAGCACCTCTCTAGACCTTATTCATCCCGCGTAACTGAAATGATACACCAATTGAACAACAACTCCCCAGCCCCTGGCAACCACCATTCTCTGATTCTATGGGTTTGACTAGTGTAGGTACCTCATATAAGAGAAATCGTACAGTGTTTGTCCTTCTGTGACTGGCTCATTTTGTTTGGCATAATGTCCAATGGGAGAAAGTATTTATAAAATTTTTCTCAAATTTCAATCTCATATCTGCCCAACACACCAGGTCCATGAGGGCCAGATTTCCAGTGTTATAGGACAGACGAAAGATATTAAGACCCAAAGTCAATTAATATAGTGCTAATTAGGAAGTCTTTATTAAAGAAAAGACTGAATGACCAACTGTTCCCCCAATACGGGGAGCAGCCCAGACCACCGGTAGAGTTCAGCTTATATAATGTGGGCTGATGTAATCTTGGGTGAGTTTGTGTGATTAGAAAATTCCAGAGGCAGGTATTGTTTAAATGCTTATAGGGTATACAATAAAAATAATCACAGACATCCAGTCACATTGGTTTTAGTCATTCCTTCTAACAATGTCTTTCTAGCCACCATGTCTGGTTGGGCCTCTTAGTATGGTGGGGGTCACAGAGGGTGAACTGGGGAAGTGTGGACCAGTTTCTGCAGCTCAGACTTTGCAGCACCATGACCTCTGCTTCCCCTCCTTTATTTCTTCTGTCTCCTTTAACATTTCATTAAATAGTAAACAGTTTAATATGATTTCTTACACACTTATACTATACTTAATGTCTAATGCTTTCTACCATTTATCATTTATTAATCTTTTTGTTATCTATTTTACCTACTCCTAAACTATTGTTAAGCCTTAGTAACTTCCCTAAACTACTGTTAAGCAGTCTCCCTCCCCGTCCCACTATTGATTGTGTCTTGCTGATTTAGCAGGCTAATTCAGCAAGAATTTAAGGGTGAAGCAAAAAGGAAGGCAACAAAGGGGAGGTGAGAGTGACAGGATTTTTATCCCATCTCACCAACGTGTTCCACCAGTCAGGCCAGCTCCTCTCTGCTGCCCTCACTCTTTGTAGATTATTCCTTAGATTCTGTTCTACCCTTTACAGGGACAATGTCTCATATCAGTCACCATGGAACTCCTGGGCAGAAGTGCACCCCCTTCTGACTGAGGCCCCAGCAACTGTACATTCCAGGTGAGTCAGGCAGTTGGCAGGTCAGGGAAGGATGAGGAGAGACCCTGGAGGGGTCTCTGACTCCTGATCCTGTGTGTCCACAATCCAACACAGCTGCTTAATTCACACTTGAGAAAGTCTGTGAGTCTCCCAGACAGAGCAGGTGGCCTCATATTCTCTGACCCTCAGATTGTCATGTATCTGTCTGTGACACACACACCTGCCTTGGTCTTTTAATCACTCATTTTGGCTGAGAGGTGACAGGTGCCAACTCTGAAAGATGCCTTTGGAACAATCAGAGTCCCACATTGGGCAACTTTCTTTTTATTTTCTTTTTTTTTAGATACAGAGTCTCACTTTATTGTTCTCAGTAGAGTGCTGTGATGTCACAGCTCACAGCAACCTCTAACTCCTGGACTTAGGCGATTCTCTTGCCTCAGCCTCCCGAGTAGCTGGGACTACAGGTGTGCACCATAATGCCCGGCTATTTTTTGTTACAATTTGGCTGAGGCCAGGTTTGAACCAGCCACCCTCAGTATATGGGTCCAATGCCCTACCCACTGAGCCACAGGCGCCGTCCCTGGGCAACTTTCTGTTATATGCACAGTGGAGTTACCCAGACCCTCGGTCACAGGCACCAACTCAAACCCTATGGAGGACAAGGACTCCACAGTATTAACTTGTGAACCTGAGACTCAGGACACTACCTGCCCATGGGAGGTAAATGGTCAGAGCCTCCAAGGTAGCAACAGGCTAGTGATGTCCCTGGACAAACAGACCCTCACTGTACTCAGTATCACAAGGAATGACATAGGACCTATGTCCTGACCCAGTTTCAGGAAACTGAAGCCCAGTAAGTGGCAACTGCAGTGACCCCATCATCTTGAACGTTCTCTGTATTTTCTGTTCCTCCAGGAAACTGAGCTGAGCTGGAGCCCTGGGCTTGATCATTCCTGCCCACATCACACCCACAGAAGAAACTCTGTTCCTAAAGACCAGTGATTCTCAACCTTCCTAATGCCTCAATGTATTTTCATTGTTAAAAAGGAGTTGTGACCGATATGCCTGGGGCCTCCGCAAAATGGGAGTACAGGACAGAAAAAACTTCCAGAGTATTAGAGTTGTGAATAATAGTCAGCTGGTGACACAGGAAGTCAGTGAGAGACTTCTGGACCCCATGAGGAGGACAGAAGCAGTGGAAAACTGGCAAGCAGTAGGTGCGTTTGTTTGGTTGGAGGCTGCCCGCAGCTGTAACCATAGCAACAGCAAGACTGCAAGCAGGAAAAGCCTTACCTGTGGACTGTTTTGGTTTTTGTGGACTTGGGCATTCAACTGAACTGCCTTGGGAGATCTTGGGCTGGTGTGCGGATGACATTGGGCATTGTCTGGGGCCCCCACCTGAGCCGCTGAGCTGGAAAGGAGCTAATATCATTCAGCTATGGGTTGCCCACACAGCTTCTGTAGGGGAGCTGCCCCTGTGTGTTGCAGCTCAAGGATCGGCCAGGAGACCTTGGGCGAGTAATCTAGTGATGCTGGGGAAATGCGGAGATCCAAGTGTTTGGATAGATTAACAGCCTTGGCCCTCGGGCATAGAGGAAGACTGGTTTGGTGCACTGGATAAGCAGGCAGCCACACCAAGAGAGATCCCAGGGATAAGTGCTTTCCTTGGAAAGCTTCTGCTTGGCCAAGATTCATAGTTTGGAGTGTCTTTTAAGTGAGCTGAAGAGGCTTTTGGGCTCCCAAGTCTGCAGGATCCAGAGAGAACAGCAGAGGCCTCCAGTCTCCATCTTGTACAGCTGTATCAACATTGTGATTAACATCTCAGAACTCAGAAGCTCACCTCTTGCCCAGACAATATTCAGCAAGATAGATAGACTATTTGGTTTTTGGGTTTTGGAGTTTTTGCTTTTTGGGTTTTTTTTTTTTTAATTTCAACATTTTTCTTTTCTTTTTGTTTTTTCCTCCTTTTTTCACTATTCTAGTTTAAATACAATCTTCCATTTTCTTTAACAATTAGAATTTCATTTTTGCCAGTGTTTCTGCCCCTATTATTTGTTTTTGTATTTTGGTTTTTTCCCCCAATTTTATCCCATAAAGGTTTTTGCTTATTTGTTTTGGTTTGATTTACAGTATGTTTGTCTTTCCTCTACCTGGTGGAGGTGGGGTACTGTGTCTGATCTGGCTGGCAAAGAGCTGTTGACCTCAAGGGAGTCACCCAACCCAGCACCCCCAGAGGTTGGGGGTCTTTAAGGTTAGGTCATAGTACCCTGCTATACACCTATATTACTCCTGTTTCTTTCTTTGGCTGCCTTTCTTCTTTTTGCTAATATTTCCTTTTACCCACTCCCTCTTCTTTCACTTTTTTCTTTCTTTTTAAAATCTTTTTTCCCTTCTTACTCTTCAATCTTCTTATACTTCTGGTCCTGTACCAAAATGATTCATTGAAACTTTAGGCCAGTGGCACAGTAACTTAAAGAGCAAGAAGTGAAAGGAAAATTAGGGTAAGGAAACAGATACAAGAAAGCACTCATGAAGAAGAATCAGCTGAAAAATCCTGGTAACATGAAATACCGTCCAGAGTAACCCCTTCTAAGGATCGTGCAGTGGCTACAGCAGAGGATTCCTCCTATACAGAAATGTTAGAAATGAGAGGAGGGGAATTTAAAATACAGATGATGAAAACAATAAAGGAAATTACTGAGAAAGTGGAAAATAATCAAAAGGAAATCCAAAAACAGGATCAAATAAGAGATGAATGATATGAAGAATATAGAAAGGATATGGCAGAGTTGAAGGAACTGAAGCAGTCAATTAGGGAACTTAAGGATGCAATAGAAAGTACCAACAACATATTAGATTATGCAGAAGAAAGAATTTCAGAGGTAGAGGATAAAGCTCTTGAGATAACTCAGATAGTTAAAGAGGCAGAAAAGAAGAGAGAAAGCAGAGCGTTCAATGAAGAATTATGGGACTCTATGAAGCATTCAAACATACGAGTTATAGGTATCTCAGAAGGGGAAAAAGAATGCCCCAGAGGAATGGAAGCCATTCTAGAGAATATTATAAATGAAAATTTCCCAAACATCACCAAAGATTCTGACATACTCCTTTGAGAGGGATATCAGTCCCCTGGTCACCTCTACGCAAATAGAGTTTCTCCAAAGCACATTATGATGAATCTATCTAAAGTCAAGACAAAAGAAAAGATTTTGCAAGCTTCCAGGAGTAAGTGCCAACTGGCCTACAGGGGCAAATCTATCAGGGTGACTGTGGACTTCTCTAATGAAACTTTTCATGCCAGAAGACAATGGTCATCTATCTTTAATCTACTTAAACAGAACAATTTCCAGCCCAGAATTCTATATCCTGCTAAGCTAAGCTTTAAAATTGACGGAGAAATCAAATCTTTTATTGATATGCAAACATTGAGGAAATTTGCCACAACAAGACCAGCTTTACAGTAAATATTTCAACCTGTTCTATACACCGACCATCACAATGGACCTTCAGCAAAGTAAACACCCAGAAATTAAAGTACAGAACCTAGTTTCCACAATGATGCAAAAGACAAAACTAAGCAATGGACTTTCACAAAATAAGCTGAATAGAACACTACCACACTTATCAATTATCTCAACAAATGTCAATGGCTTGAATTCCCCACTGAAGAGGCATAGATTGGCTGATTGGATTAAAATACACAGGCCATCTATTTACTGTCTGCAGGAAACACACCTTAGGTCAAAAGACAAACTCAGAGTTAAGGGTTGCAAGTCAATTTTTCAGGCAAACAGAATTCAGAAGAAAAGAGGGATTGCAATCTTATTTTCAGATACATGTGGATTTAAAGCAACTAAAATCAAAAAAGACAATGATGGTCACTTCATATTGGTGAAGGGAAAAATACAACAAGAAGACATTTAAATTCTAAATATTTATGCACCTAACTTCAATGCTCCCAGATTCTTGAAACAGACCTTGCTTAGTTTGAGTAATATGATATCCTTTAATACCATAATAATAGGGGACTTCAACACCCCTCTCTCAGAGCTGAACAGATCCTCTAATCAGAAATTAAACAAAGATATTAGAGATTTAAATGAGACCCTAGAACAACTGTGCTTGATAGATGTATATAGAACACTCCATCCCAAAGATAAAGAATATACATTCTTCTCATCATTCCATGGAACATTCTCCAAAATTGATCATATCCTAGGACACAAAACAAACCTCATAGAATCAAAAGAATTGAAATTCTACCTTGTATCTTCTCAGACCACAAGGCACTAAAAGTGGAACTCAACTCCAACAAAAACACTCAACCTCACACAAAGGTATGGAAGTCAAACCACCTTATGCTGAATGACAGTTGGGTTCAGGAAGAAATAAAAAAGGAAATCATTAACTTCCTTGAGTATAACAACAATGAACACACAAGTTACCAAAACCTATGGGATACAGCAAAAGCAGTCCTGAGAGGAAAATTTATCGCTTTAGAAGCCTACATTCGAAAAACAGAAAGAGAGAGCATCAACAAACTCACAAGCCATCTGATGGAATTGGAAAAGGAAGAACAATCTAAGCCTAAACCCAGCAGAAGAAAAGAAATGTCCAAAATTAAATCAGAGATTAATGAAATTGAAAACAAAAGAATCATTCAGAAAATTAAGGAAACGAGGAGTTGGTTTTTTGAAAAAAATAAAATAGATAAACCTTTGGCCAGACTAACCAGAAATAAAAAGTAAAATATCTAGTAACCTCAATCAGAAATGATAAAGGGGAAATAACAACTGATGCCACAGAGATGTAAGAGATTATCTCTGAATACTGCCAGAAACTTTATGCCCAGAAATTTGACAATGTGAAGGAAATGGATCAATATTTGGAATCACACCCTCTCCCTACACTTAGCCCAGATGAAATCGATCTCCTGACAGACCAATTTCAAGCACTAAGGTCAAAGAAACAATAAAAAATCTCTCAACAAAAAAATGCCCTGGTCCAGATGGTTTCACACCAGAATCTATAAAACCTTCAAAGAGCTTATTCCTATACTGCAGAAATTATTCCAAAAAATTGAGGAGGAAGGAATCTTGCCCAACATGTTCTACGAAGCAAACATCACCCTGATACCAAAACCAGGAAAAGACCCAACTAAAAAGAATTTCAGACCAATTTCACTAATGAATATAGATGAAAAAATTCTCAACAAAATCTTAGCCAATAGATTACAGTTTATCAT